TGTACATGTGTACATGGACTGCTTCCAGACCAGATTCCCTCCAATAATCAGAAAATCCCAATGAAGCGCTTGTTGCCCGAAATGCGTTGAATGCTGAATGCTAACTACTCCCAACATTATAAGGAAGAGACAATTATATAACAAGTTTTTGAAAGAACACACATATGGCTATTGTTTATGAACATGCTTTACTTATGTTTTGGAGTAGTGCTTTGGAGGTACTAATGTGTATTGCTACGAAGGAAGCTATACATTTATACTAATTTTACATGATTTTAATATTTTTTTATTAATAAAGAGTTTTTTGACACAATACTGTAGTAAATTCTTGGTTCTGTCATCTGGGCACCTATAAAACTCCACATACTCACCTGTTTTTCTACTGATTCCAGGGCTGTGGTGCCAATCACTCAAGGGTCTCTGGAAGGATCTTTCTTTTGGATTTTATCTAGCTGAATAAACAATGTAAGCTAAATCGACGGGGAAAAATAATTATATGATTTTTCAGTTAGCAAAGCAAACATTCCCTTTTTCATCCCTTCCATTAAGTAGGATGTGGGATCTTTACTATTAAGCCGAATGCAGCTCTGACATCATCTATTTGTGTTCTGCAGTCAGGTGTGAAGCCGTAGGAGCAGCTCTCTGTCATGCTATAGGTGAACGCCGGTTTAAAGGCGCAGACCTGCCATCCCCCTTGTACAGGTTCCAGCATGACCCAGGTGGAAGTGTAAGGTGACCACTTTCAGATTTACCTGTAATTCCTCTGTAAATAAAACTTCAAAAGAGATAAGGAAATCCTCTCTAGTGCACTCAAGAAAAATAATGCGGTCAATATCCCAAAATGTTTATCTTACATAAAAGACTTTGTCATCTTTCTTCCTCCCCTTAATTGCATTGAGAAGAACAATACATTTCTGATCTCAAATTACAGAAGAAGTGTTTGATGGCAGAACGCTCTTCATGGAAGGAGAAGGTGTATACAACTCATAAAGTTTACCAATCATCCATTAATTGGTATTGATCTAGATAAAGCACATCAATCTGAACTTTGACTACACATTATATGACATCAACTGTTTGTAGCCTAAAGGCATGGTTGTGAACTGTGCATGGATTCAAGGAAGCGTCCCGGGTTTTGAAGTTTTCTCCCATGGCTTTGGTTTTCTATGTGCTTTTTGTACTGAATATTAAAGCAGAACTCCAGGAAAATATTTGAATATAGAGATGAAATACATATTAAGAAGGGTAGACAAATGCCTTTTTTTGGAGCCAGCTCCATTGACAACAGCTAGAGAAAACCTCAAAAGCTGGACACCAGCTGTAATTTGTAAGGAACATTGGATCTCTGGCTCCTGGGATTTGTTCAGTCCTGCATATAAAGGATCTTTTTACATGCCAACGGTTTTTATTTATGTCAATTCATTCCTGAGATTTACACAGCCCTGGCATACCAGCAAAAAAAAAGAGTGTAGACATTTATCTTTTCTGCCACCTGTACTGCCAAAGACTGCTCCGTTCAGTCTACTGGAAAACTGACACTTCCTGGAACATTTATCTCCTGGATCCCTCACAGTTCTCACTGGTTCCTTCTAATGACTTTCTTATTACTACTGTATCCTGTAATGATATGGAAGCCAGCAGGGGGATCCATTAAGCTCTTCAGAGGGCACAGGAGATCAACACTTTCAAAGTGCCAGATTTCCAGTGGACTTCAAGGAGAATATTTTTACTGAACAAAGCAGTATTTGTGGGCATCAACAGCAGCAGATCAGAGGTAGTAGCTTAAAGGGAATAGTTAAATAGAACCTGAGCCTAATTACTGTATTTACTACACACATATGACACAGTACTGGTATCCATAATATGCCTTAAAGTGACATTAAAGGCTGCATCCCCCCTCCAGTGCTGCTTTAAGTATTTACCTTACGTGATGCCTCTTGTTCCAAAAAAGTCGCTCCAGTGCTGGTGCTGCTCACAGATCCAGTGCAGACTCCTCTTTCTTCCTGGGCCCATGGAGTATGTCGGGCAGGCATGGTGCTCTCGGCTGCGTGCATTCACTGATACTGTGTCTCTCGTCCTGTCCTCTCCGGTGATATCGATTGCACATGCACCCACACACATCTCCTTCTGCACGGCCGTTCAGGAAGCTGGATTCTACAGCTAGGAGTGAGCGGCGCATACAGAGGTAAGTTTTTACCTATTTACCAACTTTATTATTTTTTTAAATGTTTTTGCATACAGTATATCTACTACTTGCTAGCAGTAGTTATATGTAAAACAAAAAAAAAAAACTATTGAGGCTTTATTACCACTTTATAATTGTACAAGTCAAAGTTTCAGATCAAGACACATAACAAAGGATCATTTTTTAAACAATATACAATTTTTTCATATGTTTTTCTGCACAAATATAGACGTAACACGAATACTTTGTCTGAGCTTAAAAGAGAACTATGGGGTAAGTGTTTTCCCCATAGTTCTCTTTAAGGTCATGGGAGGACATATACTAGCCTCCTCCCATGACCCAAAGCTCAGCAATAGCCCGCAATATACTGAGAGCGCTGCAGCCAGGACGGATACTGACAATGCTGTATAATATAGTACACATATGGCATCACTCAGAACTATCTATTGTACAGCAAATCGCATATAGTGCAGTGTTTTGGTCTACGGCTATGTGATGTACAACACAGCATAGACAGTGCAGCAGTCGTATTTATGTAATGCACAGCACAGCTTGCAAAATCCAATGAGCATCAGTAAGTGGCCCCTTATGTGGTGGTCAATGCTATGTGCCCCCTCACATTTTTGGTCAGTATTGCTTACCAACTTAAATGCAATTGTTTAATAGTATGAGTTCCCCAATAACATTGGTGTTAAAAGTGTCTGCAGGCCAATGACACTGGGGTTCAGTTGTGTTGAGGTCCCACTCCTGCCTCCCATCTTCAAGTACTGTGCTAAATGATGTTGGGCTGAACTATGCAGAAAGCATTGGGAGGAATATCACTCTGCTCAGTGCTGCCAGCATATAACAGTGTAAGTAACTCAGAGCTACTTGTTCTGTTAGAGGTCTCTTATCAAACCCAGGGCTTGTGCCCCAGTTGTTTGAGTCAAGGGAAGTCAATGTCCTGAACATCTCTCTGCCTTAGTTTTGCATATATTCTTGGAATAGAGTCTCTTTTAATGTGTAAAACTATTATTTTCTAAAAAGCTTCTAGAAGCTTTATTTTGACAGTGTCAAAAGTGTGGCATGCTACCAATTTAAATAGGAATCACAGGCTATGTGATCCACAGAAAATACTGCATTTATAGATTTTAAGGGAAACCTGTTTTGCAAAAAACATTTAATTATATACATATATGATCCATGATTTTAATACTTCATGAAAAAGTGTCTCTATCAGTGGTCTATGGTGATAATTTTGCAACTTCCCCAATTGTCAAGGCCTTTTTGATGAGTCTTCACTCTCTTATTTATTAACACTACAGAAAGAGATTAAAAAAATGCCTCCTGAGTATGGCATGGCTGAAAGACAGAGCCAAAAACACACAAGAAGAAATATATACCTCCCTTCTGAGATGGAAAAGAGGGACACCATCCAGCACAATGTATTCAGGTAATGGGCACACCCAGGCCATGCCCCCAGTTATGTGGACCATTAAGAATGTATATGCAAATTGGGCTTAGACCTCCAAAATCTGATTACAATGGTGCCCTCTATTAATGGTTCAGTGGTTTATTCTATTAGTGGTTAAAGGAGAACTATGAGATGAGTGATTTCCACTCACCTCATAGTTCTAGCCGACCTGTGACAATGAGACTGTAACAGGTCGGATCAGTAGATCGGGAGGTGAGCCAACAGATACCGGCGTTCACTCACCTCTCAATCCTGTCACGGCTCTCTGCCGTGACAGGGGAGGGGCTGGATTCCCCCCTCCCCGCTCCGATCCGCCAGCGCTGACTAGCAGAACGGACAGGGGAGGGGGCAGGTACAGCTGGCTCTGCCTCTAGATAGGCAGAGCCAGCTGTCACTCATGCAGCTGGGCGGATCTCGACATCGATGGAGGGCTGTGGCGTTTCAGTATACTGCGAGCTGTAGCTCGCGGTATACTGAGCTTAGGGTAACGGGAGGACACTAGTTTGTGTCCTCCCGTTACCCTAAGGAGAACTAGGGGGAAAAGCCCTGACCCCATAGTTCTCCTTTAACAGTGTTTCCCTCTACGTGATCCATGTAGCCAATGGTCCTACATGGTCATTCATTCCTAAATATTATATTTTACTTATGTAATCCCCACAACATTTTCTGATTACTTTGTCTATACTTTCAAAGTTATTTAAGTATGTTTTCTGTTTTATTGTCATGTCTATTTGAAAACAATACAATTTTGTGGTACAAAAAAAGAATTTATATGCCAAAAAGAATAGGTTAAACCCGCTATTGTTTTTTCCGCTATTGCTTTTCCTTGATACTGGCTTTTTGGAATAGCAAACAAGATAATTAGGAGATAAGATAAAGGTTTTAGTGCAGAATAATACTTCTGGTGGTTAAATAAAATGTTTTCATATATATCTATACATCAGATAAAAAGGCAGATCAACAGAAGAAAGAGGGACATTCTCTCCAAATCAGGGACAGTTGGGGGTATGAAAATATTGATACTGCAGTTCATAGGAAATATAAAGAGAAAGTGAGTCACTGAAAGACCAGCACCTACCAAAAACAGAAAAATCAGGTTTTGGTTGAGCTGACCTTGAAGGATAAAGGTTTTCACCTTGGAAGAACAAGTGTGGAGGCCGTTTACAGATGCCAAAAGATAATAATGTTTTGTACTGTACTTCTGAAACTAACCAGTAACCAGTTTAATAGATCATAAGAAGACAAAAGCAGGCCAGGGCACTTTAAACTTCAAGAAAGCTGATAAGAACAAATTCTTAAAGACCCTTAACTTTTTGTACTTTGAGATTGGCATTTCTTAGTTAACGGGTTCACTTTAGATACTGTATCTAGGCTCTTATGATACTTATTAAGAAGTTGGCTTTGCACATTACTATGTGTTGAATGGGCTTCTATGGTCTGTAAAAAGAAAAAAAACCTCTGATTGGCAGATTTTGGCTCAGAATGATCAGGACTTCTTCAATTTTCTCTCTCAAAGTGTGAATGTTAGTCTATTATAGTTTTTAGGCAAGATGATCCATACCATAATAACAATCAATAAATTATATGGAAACGCAAGCATTAAAATTTCATATAAACTTAACATGTTAAATACAGACCCAGAGATATTAGGGGCTACATGACTGTGGGGAGGAATTATCCCCTGGGAAAGGACTACAGATGGGGAATAATTAGAGAGTCTTACCTAATTGGAGGAAAAGGTCAGGTGGCCAGGAGGAGCTGCATTGGAAGGAACATCAAGGGCTGCTGGGAGTTCTTTCTGGAAAGTAATGGAGGAAATAAGTTGTTTCTCATGCCCTCCCTTATTTCAGGTTACAAGTTTTTTTTTGCATTTTATATGTGTTTGTCATGGCAGTTTGGCAGGTTAGGGGTCTTTGGGGGTCAAAAACAATATAAGATAGGCACAGAAAATGGGGGGGGGTTGCTTCCTGGTGGGGTTAGTTGTGAACAGGGACCCGGTCCCTTGCAGAAGTCAGGGAAAGATAATGCTGCAATTGTCCCCAAGCTGGTGGGAGTTGTGACTGGGGGCATGGGGTGGATTTACTAAAGCCTTAGTTGTTCTAACGTACATCAAAGACCCCTTCTTATAATAACAGTTGTTAGGTTATCCTTATTTGGTTTGTTATTTCTGGTTTTTGTGATTGGTAAAATGTAATTTGTTATATAGTTAAATAAACGGCTGCTGTGGTCATGTAATGCAGTATGTGTGGTTTTTATTGGGAAGCTTAGAAAGGGGACAGAACTGATGAATTCAACAGGTCACATTAAGGGGTCTATTCACAAAGCTGCTGAAGGATCTAGCCGTAGCTTCGGCTGATCCTATGGCTAGCTTCCGCCCCAGGACCCCTTCAGTTCAGTAGAACCGAAGGGCTGCTGTACGGGCTATTCACTATAGCCCGTACAGTTCCCGAAGTTGGCCAAGCGGCTCAGTCGAGCTGAAGGCATATGCCTCGGCTCGACTGAGCCGAGGTGAAAGCCGAAGCTGGCCAAATGGCCGGCCATTGGCCGACCGACAGCCTGCTACTGACAGTTGGTCGTCATCTCACGGCTGGCTCCAGCCACTTGCAGAGACAGATTAGCGTCCTGGTAACCAGGTAACCAGGGATGCTGATCTGTCATTACTCTCCCGGGCGCTCTGAGAGTCTCCCGCTATTAGATAGTGGCCCCCGGCAGCCCGGGAGAGAAACACTTTCTCCCGGAAAGGTTTACTCTGCTCGGTCGACTACCTGAAGGTGACAACAGGTACTGTGTGTTGAAATGGCCACTTCTAGTCTCCACCGGCGATTTGTGTGTCAGGGTGACAAGCAGAAGTCACCCTATAACAGGAAGAGCCTGAACAAGGATATTTATAGAAGGCTTACCAGATATTATTCTGACATAAGCTGCGCATTTTAAAATACTTAGGGGTCAATTCACAAAACTGCCGTAGGCAGCCGAGTGATTAACCGACCCAAAGTGAAGTTAATATGTTTTCTATGTATCATGAATTTTGTTATGATGTTTGTGTTTACAATTAAATTAAATAGTTAATAGTTGCCCCATCCCCTTTGGGGGTGAGAAACTAGGGTATTTAAGGTATGTTATTTGGATGTTTCCTTGCTACGATTAAGTCCCAGTTTGGGGGCTGAAACATGTAAGCATTTGTTTGTTTTTTGCTGGTTTGCCTTTTTTACAAATAAAGTATTGGATGGACGGACCCCCTTGCGAGTTCCGTTTTTTTTTTTACCTATTTCTTATTACACTGTACAAAAGCATTTGTTTGTTTTCTGCTGGTTTGCCTTTTTTACAAATAAAGTATTGGATGGACGGACCCCCTTCCGAGTTCCGTTTTTTTTACCTATTTCTTATTACACTGT